TCTCAGAGAACAAAGCGGTTTAGTCCTTGGCCAGTGTGGCTGGCCCGCCAACATACTTTTACTATTACGAAGTCTGTCCCATTCAATTCAACAGCTGATTTAACAGCGTTTAGGGTCTAATAAATCATTGTATAATTGGTGTCAGTGACATAAACACCCGCATATTTAAGTTATTATGTGTTGCATTGCATAGCCATCTTCTATTCAATACGTACACATTTTATTATTGATGTGGCAAGCAACCAGATTTAGATGGGTAATAAAATATTGTGCAACTTTTTCTTAATCTTAATCTCTCATGATGTAAAAATAATAAACTTTACAGTTACTTTGAACAAAACGGCATCAAAGTGTTAATACAAGCCTCTATACGTAGTTTATATTGTATTTAATTAAAACTACTAATCTTATCAGAGTTATCTTTTTCATTATTTTGCGCGGGCGAGTTCCCAGGGCAGTTGAACGCTTTCCCGGTCCTACAGTATCTGCTGGCTCATCATCGCAGCACACACATCACAATAGACACAATGGTATGACTCCCACACGTCAACAAGCATTGTGCGTAGCCGCATTACCAGTTCATTATTGCTCTCAAGAGCACCGGTGGATGTCGTTTTACTACCCATTATTCCGATGAATAGCTACTTGTATGACGAAACTTACTTTCTAATGTTACTGCAATGGCTGGTAATTTTATTTGCCTTCTTTTGTAATGACAGACGACTTTATTGCCGTGTTTGTAGTTTTTACGCCATAAATGCGGTGCCATTATTAGGACAGTGGACATTTTAGTAGCCAATTAGATAAGTGGGCTATATCGAATCTCTTTCAGAACTACATAAATTAAACGAGTTTCTATACTGGCTTTAGTGGATATCCTAATTCAAGTTTTCATCAAACTAAAATCAATTGCAATAGAGTCGAGTGGTGCGCGCTTAGAAAGTTTCTCGTTTCCCAATTCCCAGTACAATTCGGATATTGAACATTGCTACTAGTCTTGTTGAGCTACACTTGTGCCTATGTATAGTTAATTAATATTATCGACGAGGTTTTACGTGCTGAGGATATTATATATTTCTAGTTACTAGATCTACTAGAATCTAGTAGATCAAACATACAAAAACGCCACTGTTACATTGCACAAAGCTGCATCAGTCACATGCTAAGCTTAGTAACTTAGATTTCTATACAAGTTTAGTTAGTGTAACGGATAGGTTTAATACGATGATAAATCGCACGTGGATCAGTATCTTGGGTCTGTCTCATAAACTCGATAGCGTACTAACGGGTGTAACTAGTATTTACTACATCGCCGTATTTTAAGATTACTAGATTAACCAGCAAGAGTAACAGGCGATTAGTATAAATTAACACCAAAAACTACTTCGAACAAAGACAAAATAAAGAGAAATTGATGAATGTTGAATTATTTTCCCACACCAAATGCTTGTAACACTTTAGACTGGAATAAGAGAATTCACAGTCAACATTTTTGGACACCGTAGGTAGCGTATACGCAGTAGCGTGTCAAACAAAGTTCAAGCATGAATTTACAGCACATCTAATCAGTGTAGCATGGCCCTTAATTGAGCTGAAATGATATGTACTTGAACAGGGAGGTTAAATATGAAATATTTATTAACAAGGCAATATTCAAATCAAGGCAAAACGAGACTTGGTAACAGAGCTCGCGTGTTTTAGAACTACACCAGTAAATCAATTCTAATGAGGGGAAAGTGGCCCGAAACTGTAAACAACTACAAGTAAATGTTGCGATGTTCGCACTTAAACAATAACTTACAGTGAAAAGACACCATAAAAGGTGCATGCGTAGACAGCACTGCGAGAGGCCCCTTTCTCATACAGTCAAAGGTTAACAAGAAGTATGTAAACAACAAATATGATAGTTTTATGTATTGTAATGCGATCCTTGCGATTCTCACGTTCTGTTTACATTTCAACGTTTGGGTAATTTCCCTTCACGAACAAAAAGCGTGGTATTCACAAGTTCACATAAATCCCGTTGGCTATTCGCGCGAATATCGCGTGTGTTCGCGATATAACGGACCCTAGTATCGCTCTATGCATGTAATGTTATTACTTGTGACAATTGACTGCCGCATTGCTTTCGCAGAACAATGGCACCGCCTTTTTTGCGTATTCGTCACGTTTATTTCATCGTTTATAACTTCCTAATTATAATGCACGACGTAAAACAATGAAAATGTAATTTGTGGTTCAAGAATAAATACAGTTGTTGCTGTATTGTGTTAGATACATTTGATCACGTTCTGTGGTTTACTGCATTGAAATAACATAACGTATTTTATATAGCAAGCTGTAAACCTGTGTAATAAAAAGTAGCAGAAATATACACGATGTTTACAGGAAGTTTACGGGTAAACATCCCGACATGCGCGTCGCCCTATTGCACATAGCTACGATAATTAAAAATCAATGTCTTGAGCAAATGAATATATTAGTCGTCGTAAAATACTAATACGAATGTATTACTAATACATTATCTGAAGCCAGGGTCACGGCACTCGTACGACGAGTCTGACTACGAGAGTGTAAACTGGATTGTACAAGTGTAACAAGATTGACGCGGTCCATCATCAGTAGACAGTTGGACACCGCATCGATCATTCGTCTGACAACAATGGACTTAATATCTAACACTATGCCATTCATGTCATTATGCATTCTGTTAACATTTCCCTACTATTGTAATTCTATAGACGTTTAGAATAATGACATATTACTAAAATCATTTTTTTTTTTTTTTTTCAGTTTAGTAAGGCGAGAATACCAACACCTCTGTTTTCTATCCAAGATTGCAAAGCAAGGCGTGCGTGAAGTTAATTTTATGTTTCCAATAATGTAATCCTGGCATGTTAGTGATAAAAACATCCGAGCGTAACGCGAAAATTAAATCTATGCCGCTCGGGGAAAATGAGCAAATTTTATTGAAACCTCGCGGGATATTCGCAACCCGAGCCGGTGATGTCGCCACAGGCGAATTTTACTCGGAAAATATTGTAACAAAATATCATAAAACGGTAGAGGAGAGGGATAATAGAAAATCTGGAGATTACCACCTGTTATTCTGGAGGAAAACATAATTGCATTACGAGGCGGGGCCTGACTTTACTTTGTTTCGTCGGCGGTACCTACAATTGTGAGAGGTTTGTTTCCGACGTTTCGTATAGTAAGCCGTTTTAAAGGGTCCCCCAGTAAACAGCCTTTTCAAACGGCAACAAATTATTTAATTCTGCATGTGTGGAACATATCCAACGTAGCCTTTGCTTTCTTTTGTAAATATCTCCCTTCCCTCGTCTGTTTTCATCTCCCTTTGAATAAACATGTTTCTTTCATAATTTAATGTGCCGCCTCCAACACAAGCAAAATAAGTAACGTACGTAATACAGTAACTTTCATATAATACTTATTTTAATGAATTAAATTCTATAATAGTTCTGTTGTAATGAGGACCAGCAAATAACAGTGTTATTATTTCTATTTCTAACAAACTTAAACCCTAGAGAAAAGATAAACTAGACTAGGTAATAGGTACGTTGTTAGTCTGTAAGCTTCTTTTAGTATTTCAACAACATTCCCACTTATTGGAGCAATTTCCTAAGTCTGCACGTCGAGCGCAGGATTACAACTGTCTGCGTGCACTTTGTTCAGCTTTACAATATCACACTGTCGTAACGAAATTGTGAACATTATTGTAGCCAGTAATAACATGGCATCTAAACAAGTTTGATAGCTCGTATAAAACAGCCTTCGCCATAACTTCGCCTTGTCGCGTCACGATTTGCGTAATGGACACAAAACCGCTCGCGGCCGACCAAGGGCCGGTTTCAAAGATATTCAATCATATTCTATAACGCTGATAATGCTTATAGCAGCGATGTGAAGGATCGTTAATAATATCAATTTGCTAAATTCCTGAAGCATAATCTCAGTTATTTCAATACAAAAAGTATATGGTAAAATATTTTCATCGGAAAATTTTTCAAAGTAATTTAACTCGATGAGCCGGAAAGCTAAAAAGAAACTACAAAGTAAGACATCTCTCAACGGAATAGCCACCGCCCAGAGAGTAACGAAGCAGGGAGACGTAAACAATTTAAGAGTGGCCGCTGCACTTCAGCTGAAGCAACCAGGCGAATAAACGCGTCGGCTACTAACCGGGTAAACACGGGAGACTGGAGACGTCCCGTGCCCATCTGTAAAAACCTGACTATTTAAATTGGATGTTCAGCAAATTTCCCGTGGCGCTTCCATTTGCTAAACATTTATCTTAACGATGTTTTTTTAAATAGCGCTCAAAGGACCTCTGGAATTAATGAGGTTAGCGAGTTAATAGAAATAAGTTTAATTGTTGTTTGCCCTTAAGCACGCTGGGAGCAGTGAATAATTCTTTCCTGTTTGTTCATGTTTGCTTTCAATTCGACATTTCATGCAACTTAATTGGGATCCCGTATTATATCAGAGCAAGCATTGCATATTTGCGTTTGACTAGCGAAACGAGGAACGGTAAACAGTTCATTTCAAAAGAAAACATAATTCTGTATGCTCATTTATATCATTATCACGAAGGTAGGAGCAAAAATGAACATGCCTTTTATGCCGATTTTCATCTAAATTAATTAATGGCGTTGTATTGGGTAGCTTATTACGGCACACTATTAAGTTCTTAATGCCTTTTTAATAGCATTCGTCGTTAAATGGGCGAGTAAATTGCCAGAGCATATTTTACGATTTTCGTCTTCCCATTTACTAATATCGTAGATTAGAGATGCTATTTTTAATTCTGCCTAAATTGTATTGTTTGTGCGTTTTTCAGTCATCTACATAAGTTACTGAAACGAGAAACAAAAAACTGCTACGCAGCAAGTTTATCACGCACTTACCATACCGCGTAATATCATAAAGTAAACATTTAAAATTTATTCAAGTGATCACGAAAAATAACAATTTCAACGAACCTTGAACACGGTTAGACAAGTGCGCTCATTCTGTAGTGAAATAATTCTCATCTAATTACCTGTAACAAAAAGAATATTTGCGTTAGTGATATCATAAGTACACATAGAAACAGAAGTTAAACGAATAATTTATTACATCCAAAAAAAAATGGTAAGCAAACAGACTGATTTCACATTTAGACATTTCTTGAAGAATTAAAAAAAACATCCAATACATGAAATAGTGAAGTGAGACGTAAGAAATATAATTACAGTGTAACGCCATAACATTGGATTAGAAAAACAATATCTTGGCAGTGAATCGCGTTGCTGACGCCAAACGCTCTCAAGATCCCGAAACTTTTCCCATTGCAATAGCGTTGCGGGGCAGCCGAAACGAGGGGTGTAAAATGTCGCTTACACATGAAACTGCTAACTTAAGTCACTACAGCCATTCTAAGGTTCCAATTGCATTAAGAGAAAATGTTAGACTTCCCTAACTTTATCTAAGTTACGTTTTAGGCATTCGGTTGCGGAGCGTCCGATCATGAAACTATTTTGTGAGTACAGAACAGAACCCCAGACGTAAACTACATCCAGACAAAAGCAGAGGGCATTATTAAACTAAGTTAAGGACCCTGCCGTCTAGACAGTATTTGTACTTTGTAGTCTGAAAGCGTCGAACGCGCTAAACTGTAATAGAGCCAATCACTGCAGTGTGTGGGTAACAAGAGAGGCCAATTACCACCGAGTCTTTAATGTGAACGACACTAGAAGCCGACTGGTGGCCGTCCGCTCAATAAAACTTATTCCCGAATTCATCCGAGACGGAGTAATGAGCCATTTTATATTCTAGAAACCGGAATTGCTACATTGATTTCTGTCGCTTTTATAAAATGTCATGTTGGATTGGATATTTAAGAAAGAAATGTTGTTTTATTAACATAAGGTATTTTCTATTCAAAATTCCTAAAAATAATAAGGGTTGGTAAATAAAATAATACCCCAGAAGTTGCGGTTGCTGTTCCCAGACGTATGAGGTAGTCATGTTCAATTAAATCTTTGAAAGTTTTAATGAGTCTCAAAATAGATGTCTTAGCGTTGCCAAGTCAAATAATTATCGTTAGTATATTAGTTCACTGGTTGCTAGTGTTGCTACACGACCTTTAGGCGAGCAGAAACGTTCAGTTAGGAACATTTACAATACTACTATAGGAATACGCAAAGCACTAAAAATGCTGACAGAAAAACAAAGACGTTTTATTTGTAAAATTTTTGGATAAATAATATTGTAATCGTGTGTACAAAATAGATGAGTAATAGATAACATAATCGGTATTATAATGGCTCCACAATCAAATAGCGATTACGTAACACTGACATTATGGGTTATGACGTGACCTGACGATTGTGCCCAAGTCTGCAAATGCCACCGGCACAAATAGCGACCCATTACAACGCGGGCGAGACGAGCCCTACCTCAACACGGAAATTATTATCACTCCCATAAATCAAACCAGGTTTACAAAGACATGGCGAAATTTGTAACTGTCACAGGAAAATTTGCGATAAGTATCAAAGTTTTTACGTGAAAGAAGTTTGGAAGTTGGTAGTGAGCCGTATGGCTGTATTGCATAGGAGAAATATTTCCTGTTTGATGCCTCATTAACTCGAAACGGTACAGGTGATGGTGCCGCTTTTGCAATGAACGAAAACTTGTGCTAAGTCAATACAGGTCAATGGTTGAATATACTGACGGATCTTTACTCTCATCATGCAGTATTCAGTTGTAATTTGAATGGGTTTGATTTAATTTGTATAGAGCAATAGAGGTGCATTTTATTAGTAGTCTACCTTTATCACTACTTTAAGTACGTACGAGTTTTCAGCAGCTCCCTTAAATGTATTCAATATTCTTATCACATCTTCTTAGATGCAGAAGAAGGCATTATTATTTCCGTACCAATTCACGAACATCTTCGTACAAATCGACTTTAACGTAGATTCATTTCAACGTAATATCAATCTGGTCGGTAGGCAGTGAACAAATAAAATATGTGTACAAAGACAGTATTGATAAATACAGAGCCAATAAATCAATAAAATTATGTGACGTCATTATTTGATTTTCATTAACAATGCGATATGTTAGTATCAACTGTTTATTATACCGGGACGATACAAATCGATAAACGTTTCGAGTATAGAATGGTAGATAGGGCGGGAGTGGCGCAGCGGTGCGCATCGTCATTCGCGGGACAATGGCAGGCCGTCCTTGAATTAGCACCGGAACTATTGTCACCGCGCACAATAGATAGGATTTGCCTAGATTGCCGTCGGGCCTGGCACGCGCCGCCGAGCAAAAACCGCACACAAAACGTAATGACCGAAACTCGAGAAACTAATGCGTCGTATCGCTGTCATTGCAAGCTTGGAAAATTTATCAGGCAGAACAAACACTCGCTTATATTTGAAATGGTATGGCGCTTTAGGAAAAAATACTTAATACCAAATCTGTATCTAGAAAAAATGTTAACATTATTTACATGACTTTGGCAGAGCACCAAAGGAACCTGATTTGTATATTGACCCAATAACTTATTAACCCTTAGGGGTGCACGGTTCAATAGTTTTTCGAGTAATACGTCAATGTCGGATTGGAATGTATTGGGGTTAGAGCAATGAAGATGTTTTCGATGTAAGTTATTATCGGGGTCATATCACGCTGTGGTGGACGTGTCACCATGATTAATCGACGTGCTGACATCAACCCACCACCCGTAGCGACGTATGGCAATAAAAAGGTTTAAAGTCACGTCGCAAAATCCTCATTAAGTACGTAAGGCAAAAACATTACAGAGTGGCTGACCATAAAGTGCTTTTTAATAACAGAGATTTAACGAGTCGTTAAAATAGTATATTCTGTGGTGATTAATGACAGACAGCCCATCTGTTACCGCTCCTAAACAAACACAGAGAGTTGTCAGAAATGTTGGAACTGAGTGAATGAACCGTGACATGAAACTTCAAGATACAGAACCAGTTCTGCTATTTGTTAATTAAGATTATTTGGAATTACTCATCACTATGATGTCTACGTTAAATTATGTCGACAGTGTAAGTGTTAAGGTCTTCTTTTTCCACAATACGTGTTATAGGTAGTTTATAGAAATATTATGAACAACAGAGCAATTTCCAGTGTCGTAAATCACTCTGTAATATACGTTGGCATCGGGAGCCGTTGACCCATTTTTGTAACATCCTTAATTTAGCCTATAAAACATCCCAACAGGTTAATCGAGTTACTTCTACCGAATAAAACACCATTTTATTTTCCACTTAACTCTTTCGGTTAAAAGTACTCTATAAAATAATTGTTTATTTACATTTCAAATCAGTGTTTCATAATGTGCAACCGCCTAGTGACCCAAATAAATATAAAGTCAGGAAATAAATAAACGCAGTCTCGTCGGTGAATGAGGTCCCGACCATTAAAAACGTACATTAAGCGCCGTTTATTTCGCTCTAGAAAAACGTAAGAGGATTTTAGAAAATTAGAACAACGTGGAATTCTAGGGTTTCAGTCAGAAGCTAGATTATTTTTAATCTACAATACCTAATCGGAATTTATTAATGTAAAAAAACCGTAATAAACAAAAAAGATAGAAAAGTATTTTACGGATAACGTAAAATAGATAATCAAGTAGCGGCTACTACCTGGCTTGTTTATGGCGCCATATAAAACATTAATGCCATCTACAACTAGATACCATAATGATACAATTAACATTTTGATTGCGGTATTTGTTGAAATGTGATGTAATTGAGCGAAATGTCAGAATTTCTACACGATTTGATCACAGATAATGTAGGTCGCGAAAGCCCCGTACCAGGAGCCGAGTTCGTATATCCCTTCATAAATAAATAGGTACGTCACTCTAATTATAGATGTGAACGTTGCCTATGACTTACGGAAAAGGTTATACGCTATATATAGCGATGTACCTGCTGCTGTTGACACGATTAAATGTGGCGATGATTTAATATCGTACACAGCTTGGCAACCGTTCCGGATATTTATCGATTTTCATTGAACACGTTTTTGTTATATTTCATGAGATACGGATAGAGCACAATGAATGTTGTCTCCTAGATAAAAACTCTAGCAAGGACATCTGAGGCTTTTTGTTGAGAGTTTTGGAGTGAAAATCATATTTTATTTCCATCGCAACAATACAGCTCTCGACGTGCGTTCAGATTGGTACTGGTGCTGACGTTGGCAAATGGACTGATTGAAGCAAACAATTCACACAGCATTATTGTAGTCACAAGGAACGTGCTCTTACAATGGTAAATTAATTTAGCTCGAAATATCTGCTCAATCAGCATGGCGTCAGTTGCTGACTGGCATTATAATCTCTAGTAACTAACTATACGTACGAAAAGCGTGCGTGCTTATAAACCACATCTGTATTGCATTTTCGTTGTTATTAAGACAACAAGATTAAAATAATTAAAAAATAGTTGATATATATTGACATTCAAGTTGTGCAGATGTTGGTAATGAAGTATGCGTCATTGGTATCGACGATATGAGGAATAACTCAATCAGGTATGCGCCGCGCTATATCGGGGAATAGAAAGGTGGCATTGTTTCAAGCCCACACAATACACTCAGAGGACACCGTATCTCCGGGGAGGTACCTACCATAAGGTTATCTCTCAACGGTTGCATGATAAAGACGCGATCATTATGCAACAGTCATTATTTATGCTAAACAAAGGAGCCGTTTCATTTGAATTTGATTGAAGGAAATATTGTTGTAAAATTGCATACAACTACTTAGTAGAAACTAGATATCATATTTTGTTTATTAATATCGACCGGTCAGACTTTAAGATATGCCCTTGATCTTTTATTGGTTTGACGAAAGCAAGAGTCGTATTTGAAACGACCTATGCGATGCGACTAGTCCTTGCGTAAAGCTAACCTTGATGGAATGTTGCTAAATGCTACGACACACCCACTTCGCTTTTTAGGAATATGACGTGTTTATTCTTATGTTATCTCAGTCACCCG